GGATCTTTAATGCGCTTCTATCATTGCTCTGACGAAGCTCCGAAACTCGAAACGTCAATCGATCGTGAGAGATTGCGGCGAATGTCAGAGGCATCCCAAGTGAACGGTATGCAGTATACTTGAATGAGTGCTCTGAACGTCGCTTCAAACGACGCAGCCAACTTCTCCCCCCCGATTGATCTCTTGCCGCGGGGCATTTAAAAATTTCGCGAAATCGCCGAAGGATCGTTGAAAGGACACACGGCAAAGCGGGGCGAAAAGCTTCGGCACGGCGCGGCGCGAACGAGCGCGACGCCGCGCATCGTGTGTGTACTCGTTGCCGAGGGGGTAATGAACCCTTGACGGGGCCGGTCGACGGGGTTCGCTCGTGCGGTACGAGGGTGGCGAAAAGGGTTCGACGGAACGAGATTCCGTCGTTGACGAGGCGTGCCGTGCCGTACGAAAGCGTTGCGAGGAAGCCTAAGTGTATAACACAAGAGAGTTCGACGTACTCACCGCAATGCAGTGACCTCCACCGCGGTCGTTATCGCAACGCCGAGTTTTTCCCTCCCTCGGCGACGAGGCTCTCAGGAGACGGGGGTTGAACGAGAGGGCTGCTGCCGCTGTCGCTGCCCGTGACGTGACAGAAAGCACCGCGTACAATCAAGGGGAGACAGTCACGTTTCCATCGGCGCAACGCGTTTATACTCTCTCGTCGTCTCTCATCGGAGTCACTTGTATTCACCGCACCACACGCGTACGCCGCACGTCAACGTTAGACGCCGGGTTATACCACGCTTTCGTCGCGACCGCACACAGCTACAGGGCCGCGAAGGAACGCGGAAGAGGAAAGTTTTTTTTCGGCCTGAACGCGGGCCGCCGAATCGATGTGTGATGTTACACTTCCCAACTGTCTTTTTTGATTCTGCGGATGTGCCCGCTACTAGGGCCATCCCGCGGCGCGTGGGCGTACTCGATGGCGCGCCGTCGGGCGGGAAATTTGAACGCTGATCGAGAACGGAACGCGTTCAGATTCTCATTCTCTAGATTTCGTTTTAACTTTGTTTGGTGAACAACGAGGATAAAATGATACCTGAAGTCTAAAATAGTCCGAATAGTTAATTGTATGTACCTTGGAATAAAATGAAAATTACAAAAGTGAATAAATCTAGAATATTTATCATTTTATTTGTTAACACTTAGTGAATTTTGCTCACTTTTGTCATTTTTACCTCGTTTCAAGGTACATACACGATGAATCCCTTGCGTTAATTAATTCATTAATTTAACGCAGTTCGGCATATAGAATCTAAATTTCTTCTGAAGAATGTGTAAAATCAAGGAATGTAAACAATTATTATAAAATTATAGTAAAATTGATAATATTTGTACAGTATTTATTATAATAAAAATATATCAGAGCCGATAAAACATTTCATATATCTATCATCTAAAAAAATATCCGCAAATTATAATCTTATTAATTACTTTTGTGAAAAATAATATTGATTATCTCTTATTATTTTTAATTAAATTAGATTTAATGATAATCAAACAATTCATAAGATAAAAATAATACTTTGATATCAACACATTTTTTGAGACACATTCGTTAATATAAAAATAAAAAGACAAATCCATACAAAAAATCTAAAAGCATCTCTACTGTATCATTTATGTGGATATTAAGAATTACGTCAAGTGCAACTTTTTAATATAATTTATTTGCATATATAGTATGGTTTTCCACAATATATATTATATAAGAACATAATTCGCCTTGTAATATTAATTTCATTAAATATAATATTAATACTTAAAATTTTTTGCTTGATTGAAAACTCCACCGTATTTCGTTAGTAATTAATAATCAAAACGCAAGGATATAGCACGGTAAGCATATCTTTTATGTACTCCTTGTTGCAACTGCGATATAGAAGCGCTCATTTTTTTTTATATAATATATTACAACGTAATCTTTTATATTTACACGAATATAACGTAATTAAGTCACGCATTTCTTTCAGTTCGTGCACGTAAGTATATGTAAATAAAACGTGTTGTATACCACATTGAGCTAGCTTAAAACAATTAAGTCTCCTTCCGTCCTACATTAAATAAGGCATTGGTAGTGAAAGTATAGACATATAGATAAAAACACTTAAAGTGTATACTGTTAAACAATAGCTACCTGACGCAATAATAAAGTCAACGTACATCAGTAAATAATAATGCAAACATTAAGTAGATATATTTTAATGCGTGATATAATTATCGTAAGGCATTAAGTTTTACGGAATATTTATATAGATCAAGCGTAAATGTGGTTATTTTCAAATAGAAAATATCTATCTGATAATATCTACATTTAAATCCTTTTTTTGATATCACCGATTTACAAATAAATACAATTTTAACACTCTGTGTGTGTCTGTAGAAATGTTTACACGATGGGATATCAAACGCAATTATTAAATTCATTACATATCTTATCGTTCATATACTGCTTTTTCGTATTTATGATTTTTTTTATATAAGAATATAATACAAGAAGCTACAATAGAGCATACTCAAACTTGATTATAAAAAAATTTACGTGTCTCTCGCATCGTCTGCATTACATCATAACAATATCCTACAAGTCCATCTAACGTTATTACATAAGTAGTACTTATTGTTTCACCATACTATTTGCAAATTATGAAATTCATATGATACATATATTGTATATTAAATAAACGCACACATGCGTGTTTGTCATACTTTGAAATAAATTAAGTGAACCAATCTTATTGATACACACGATCATATTATAAAAAAAGAAAAGATTTTAAGTATTAATTTAAAGTCATCAGTTTTGAAAGATAGACTCAGAGAACACTGCATTGTACATGCATAATGACAATCTTCCTCTTTATCCGATCTTAACTTTAATTTACGAAGATTAGATTGCGCGCTAGCTGTTCATTGCCGCATTAATGAGCTTAAGGTCTTAAACGCACTTCATAACATATTAGATTACACTGGATATAACTTGTCATCTCCCAAGCTAGGAAATACTAACATATTAAATATAAGCTTATATATATCACTTTGCAAATCTAATATGAAGATGAAGGAATACCAAGTAATATTCGTTTAACAGCGAATAATTAGCGCATTTTACTATTATACAAATCTAGATTTTACGAACGAGAGACTTATTAAAATAAGAAATTTCATAACCGGAATTTAAGGCCACAAAATTTCTGTCATGACAATATTATTTATTATCTAACGGGACGTACCTGTTTACAATAAAATAAGCTGTACAAACGGGATGGAATGTTATATTAACTCCGTATCCTTCAGAATGTATGTTAATTCCGTGAATAAATGTTATAATACAAGATAGGCATTCGTATGTGATATTAATTTTGTTATTTTCGATTATTAACAAGGAGCAATATTTAAATTATTTTCGAGACTATGCGAAACTATTGACTTTTTGTTACATTTGGATATTGACAAAATATACACAATGATTTAGATTTCTGAAAAACAATTAACTTGTTACTTCATTTACTGTATACTTTCTAAATGCAACATATATCCTTAAGTCATTATCAACTCAGAAGAACAAGCAAGGTATTACTAACGATATAACCTGCAACCAATTAATTAAATTTGTTAATTCAATATATCTTTTTACAAATAAGTTTATTAGTGTGTTTATAAAATCTTACTTTATATATTAATATAATATAAAATATGAATTTTCATCTAATAACTTATTCTACATAATTTCAGTTGATTCTATTTAGCACGAAACAAAATAAAAATTTCGAAATAAAATCGTTACAGTATTAGCTTTGGTTTTATAGTTTTTCTTGCCTTTTCTTCTAATAACATAATAACTGTTTATAAAACTGTTTATATTCTTCTGTACATTATAAGAGTATACATTCTTGAACAATACGATTTATATAACGTTATTTATGTAACGTTATCTTTCACTATTTCATAATCGTACGGAAATTGTAAAAGGAATTGTAAAAGGAACAATGTATATAAAGGAAAACATATTTTCTATGCACATACATATATAAGTGTGTGTGTGTGTGTGTGTGTTTAAAATGTACACAACAAGCGTTTTACATTTGTCCTTCAACAAAAGATATAAACAGCTTTACATATTAAGCAGTGCAAATTAAAAATTTGCATGCTGTTGAAAAAGAGAAGCATAGTTTGGTGTGCCATAAAAATATAATTAAAATTATGATGTATCCCTATTTACATTATTAGAAAAGTTTGATTAATTAGAAAAACAATGTATTTTTTATAAAATTATTTCCAGTAAACAATATAAAGTTATAGAATAATTTTTTTTAATTAAAGGGAAAAAGTAATTTTATTAAAAATAAAATAGCATCATATAATATCTTGTCATTTAAAAGTAGATGAAAGATAGCATGTCTATGCGCAGAGAATTTTTAAGTCGCAGGATAACATGATTATAATCATTTTGAAACAATTTGTCATAATTTTATCATATACAGCCATTGCACAAATTATATTTCATAACATTATTCTAATATTATTAACAAAGAGAATCAATTAATAAATCAATATCATACTATCACATTGTTATAGCAGCCAAATCACTTCTCCTAGGAAATCCCATAATTGCAATAATAAGAATATGGCATTTTTTTTTTAATTGGATTAATTAATAAGTGACTGCAAGTTTTAACAGTCTACTTCAGATTATGTTAATATTTTTCATTATAATAATTATTTTCAAAAGCGTAGCATATACTGAAAGACTTATCGAAAGTTATTTAGAAAAACTAAGCGATTTAATTTTTGAACATATTATTTTTAATATATTTTAATGCTGTTGCTCAATTGAGACAACAAAATCATTAAAGTGCAGAAATTTTTTAATAGATAATTGTATTAAGATAATATATTTTTCTGTGTACCTGTATAAGGTATATGTAATATATACATTATATTACAGATATCATCATAAACAAAGGTATTTCGTGCTAGTCGACTCCAGCAAAGCCTTGAGAACCTTCAATTGCTTTAACTAGCTTATCCCTGAGTTGTTGATAACTTTTATACGGAGGAAGGTCAATACGATTAAAACTGAAAAAATATTTTGTATTATTGTATAACAAATTTACATAAAAGAAATTATTTCATCAATGATAATAATGAGCAAAGCCAGTAAAACCATATTTTATTCGTTTTTAAAGAATATAATATATAAAATAGGCAAAATGTGTATATATATATATATATATATATATATATATATATACACATACTTTGAAGTAAATTAAAAATGTTAGCAAATGCAATACCTTCATAAAATAAAAACTCACCAAGTATGAGCTCTTGGATAATTTTCTGGTGTACCCCACCTCTCAATTGTAAATAATTGCGGTCCATTACTGCCATAAAGTTCTTTGAATCCATTCATTGGAACACGTGATGTACCAGTTACAAACTGTAATAATCTAGAACGCATTTCATTACTAAATGACAAAACAACTCTCCAAAACCATTGAACAACAATGTGATTTGCGTGATAGTCTCCTTTATATAAAGTATTTTGTTTCCAGTCTTTAACATCAATATGCTGTATACCACACATTAACAATTCCAGTTCATGTTCATCAAATATTTTTACCAATGTTGGTGGTATAAGAGCGTTAAATCCTTCCAAGAAGGCATTCATTTGTTCCTGCACACGAGATACAAACCGCCACTGTATAACTAAACTTATATATTCGTCCTTATTTTCGTCGGTCAAAGGAATATTAGCACCATCTGGCTTTAAATCTCTTTGAGATGTATGACCAAAGCTTTCTTCGTCAAGACTAAAAGTGAGTTCTAATTCACTAGGATCATTCTCCTTAATCCATAAAAGCGAATTGTAATATTCAGAATCAACGCTCTCCATATCCTTCAGATCAATTGGTTTACCCAACATCATTTTATAAAATGGTCGAATAAAGAAAGCTAAAAAATAAATTTTTTTAATATAATTATGTATCTTATTATGTATATTACATGTATTTCTATTATAATTACATTATATTACACATTTTAGCTTTATTACATATTAAAACTTACCATCCAAAAGCTTGCCATGATAAACAGCCATTCCTGCTATACGTCCAATAAATTTAAAGTAATTTAAATGCTCCTCATTACATACACCAGAACAAGGATTAATTTGCAGTGTATAATTATCACTAAAAATAAAAAAATCATGCCATTTTTGTTCTATGAGAGAAAGATCATACATTACATATAAACACTAAAATAAATAAAAAGTTTTTATACTCACGTTGCAGAATATTCAAAGAGTCCATAGTATGGATTAAACATTTCCTTAGACAATAAGAAGAACCATTCTCTTGCAAGGCCACCATAATCTAAGCCTACCTCTCCTTCAAATTCTACCCATAATTTTGTTTTTAGAATATCAACTCTGTTAACAGAGCTTATAATACGATATGAATCTTCCAAAATATTATTTCGTCCAACTTTTATCTCAAACTTATTAGGAACATTATTCTGCAATAAGATATACACAGATATAGTATAATTATATCTACGTCAAAAGTGATTTAATAACTTTAATGAATAATGAACATACAGGCTTTCTCAATTGTGATTTCAAATATTCATATTTACGCTTGTAATCTCTTGAATATGGTACAGCCTGAAAAAAAATAACAATTCACAATATACCAAATTTATATATACATATAACATATATATATCTATTGCTAAAATATCTATATACTATTTCCCTACATAAAAAGATTCATATAATAAAACATTTGTAATCATACCGGGCCCGCAATTTGAGGATTAGACATACGCGGGTCTTCCCATTGTGTTGTTCTTGTATCTATAACAAAAAATAAATGAATATTATTTCTAGATAATTATTTCTATGTAATATTATATCTAGATAAATATTATATCTAGATATTATAATGATTTGAATTTGAATTATAGAAAGCAATATACATACTGTGATCTATAAAGAAGATTCGTCCATCTGTATGTACTCTTTCCTCCCATCCTTCTGGAAGAGGTCCTAATTGATCTAAATCACTTCTTGATGTTGTTGATGGTGCAATATTATTAGGTATAGAGCTTGGTCTTCCCGTTCTGGGATCAATCCAGGTTGTCGCCCTCTCATTATGATCAATAAAAAATATTCTACCATTAGGTGCTACTTGCATACCCCAACCAGGAGGCAATCCTTCATCATTAGACACAGGAAGAGTAGGTTTAGGACTATCAATCTAAAATTTTTGCGATACAAGAAAAAATATTGTTATATATAAAATTCTAGATATAAAATGAAATAATAAAATAAATAATTAAACGTACTTGCTCTGATGAACGTCTCGAACCAGCCGGACTGTCGATATTATCATCAGTCTGTAAATATAATATAAAAATGTTTATATATTATAATCTAATAAAAAACAATATGTGAATATAAAATGAGAATGATGTGTATTTATTAAATTAACAAGCTAGTGCATATATTATAATTTCAAGAGAATATATTTTGAAATACAGAATTTAACTATTTTAGAATATATTTTTATCTATGTAAATTATAATAAATATATAATAAGTAATAAGAGAAAAATTCATGCCAACTTTTAAAAACACATAAAAATTTTTGAAATAAAGTTCTAACCAAAACATGCTATATTAATTAAATTATAAAGCAAATAGTAATACAAAAAGTAATACAAAAAAAGCAAAAAGTAATACAAAAAATAAATTAAAAAGATTTTTTTTAATAACACGCCAATAAACATCGTAATACAAAAGAAAGAGAAAATCTATGTTCGTAAGTTCTACCTGATGCTATAATTAAACTATTTTACATATATAAACATTTAAATAAATATATAAGTAAACATATCTATATATAATCTGGAGGCACGGTAGTGTCTCGGTTTTGTCCTATTCAATAACATATGTTTTTAACAAGTATAACTATAACAAATATATGTGACTTTATATAATTTATATGACTTAGTTTTATCACAAAATTGAATAGGTATACATCAAATAGAATTGATGCATGAAATAAAACTTACATATGCTATTATTCACTTTACAGCAAGCACACAAATATAAATATGGACGTATTAAGCGTTACATTCAACTAAAAGTGAACATAACAACTTTATGTATATTAATACCTGTTCTTCAGATTCGCTAAGGTAGCCACGTTGATCGACAGAACGTCCGGAGTCTGAAGAAGTATCCCCAATACCCCCTCCCCTATGATCCCCACCCTCACAATCTCTTGCTTCCGAATCTTCATCGTCCTCGCGAAGTAGAACTTCACCATCCTTACACACACATGCACAAATTTCTACATACTGCATGCTAATCATACGAATTGTATGAATAGACTAATGCCGAAATTTTTAATGTGTACACGTTTAAAAATTAGTTAATCACTTAAGAACATATTAAAAATAAGCTATTTGTGCTTCTCGATAAATCTTATAAATATGTAAATTGCTAATATTACCTCTGCTAATTTGATCAAAATATATATTCCTATTTTACTACATTATTTACTAAACACATTCTTATATGAAGAAAAATGAGCAATAACAAATATGTGTATGCATAATATGTTGCATACATTCAAACTTATAAATAAATGTCAAGAAAATTCTTGCTCTCATCATAAAGAAACATATAATAAAATAATTCCATAAAATTTAACATAATATGCAATTAACAATGTGCCTATATTTTTATTAAAAAATGCACCACTATATTTACAAATAATGATTTCATTACATATTAAGATTTTTGTGCGTGTGTGTGCGTGTATAAACACATGTATCTTACGTAGAATATAAATAAATAAAAAAGAAACATAATATCTTCCAGCATGGAGATTTGAAAGCAGAGAATATTATTACGCAAATTTGATTTTTGAAAATGTAAAAAGATATAATTATTTAGAAATATAAATAAAAGGCATCTTTTTATCTTTAATACATAAAGATGAATAAACAAATTCAAAGATTTTCTAAAACAAATAGATAACAGTATATAACGTCGGTAACATTAAGCAAAGACTTAATCTTAATTATTCAAAACAAAACATAATTATAAAATGGATTTAACATTAATGTAACGCAACCTTTTCCTATATATATTTAAAAAATTAGTATAATTAATACATATAAAACTTGCAGTATAATTTTTATATAAGATATGTTGTTTATGTAAAATATATATGTTGAATTTATGCAAAAGTAGCGACTAAAAAGTTTAATTAAAAACACTATTAAACTTACCTGATTTACTACAGAGTTCCTATGTCTACCTTCATCATCAGCACTAATATGAAATCTTCGTTGAAATTCAGTAGCTGCTGTATCCAAATTACGTTGTTCAACAATTCCACTCGCCGCTGTTGTATCTCTGTGTTACAATAAGAGATAACATTTTAAAATAGGCAAATATTGTAGATACTCAAATAAAATATAATTATCTGATAAACTATATCACATACGGTTCTGGTCGTTCCCATTGTGTAAAACGCGCTATATGATTAACATAGTAAGTCCGGCCATTTGCGTCCTGTCTTTCTTCCCATCCCGGTGGTAATGGCCTATTAACTATCGTAATCTGCAAAAATAATTTAAAATTTATAGAATTGTTTTATTCTTATTTTACAAGTACGAAAAATATTACACTAAATTAGTTTATTGTAAAAAATGTACATTTACAATACAGAAAAGTTATTATAACAATGAATTATGTATACATACATCTGTATTTTGCTCTACTGGACTGTTATTCTCTGGCTGTACTAATTCCCATCCGCCTGAATCAGATACGTCTCCGTTGTCATTTTCAATATTAGATGAGTCAGAAATGTATGCATGATACAATTCCAACGTTCCCTTAACTCGTGACCGCTGACTGGAATGATTACTAGCCATATCCTCATAAGTTATTCATTTTGCATTTGCAAATAAAAAAGTACAAAGCACAAACAAATTTCAATAAAACAGTATTAATGTAAAGTATATATACAGTAGATACTTTAATTATATGGTCAAGTTCAAATTATATACATATTACTGCAAATTGAAATTAAAATGATTAAAATTATAATTAATCATTCGTCCCTTGTGCTAATTGAAAGATATAACATATCAAACTTATGTATCGCAACTGGATAGAAATAATGTAAATTAGATCAAGATGTGTAATGTATAAAATTAAGTTGAAAAATATGTAGCATGAAGCAAAAATGCCAAAAATACTTACCTACGTGGACGAAGTACATAATTCCTAGCAGGAATAGAGCGACCTTCTTGTTCCTTTGGTAAATTAATCAATGTTAACTCAACCATACCAAGAAAATCATCCCTTGTCAATCTATTTTCATCAAAAACTTGCAAGACCAATTTGTGTTCTACTGGTTTTACCTGCCAAAATATAGTTCATGTTATTACAACGCAAAAATCTAGGAAAACGTCTATGTTTTTCATAAATTCTCTCTCTTTCTCTCTCCACTTACCCTAAATATAAACTCTTCTTCCCAGACAGGATTCAATGTCTTCTTCTTAGTTCTTGTAAGTGCAGAATCCACTGTTTGATCGCCATTTATTGTGTTCAAGTCCACGCGTACATAAGGATCACTTGCACCAAAAATATCTTTCTTAGCTAAGTGATGTCCAGCGATTACTTTTAACCTCAACTTGCTCGTTTCGTCTCTCTAAATAAGTAAATTATTTGGTATTATAATGAAATGTCAAAATTATGCTCCATTATTGACAAGTACATTCAAAGATAATATTGACCAATATAAATATATCATGTTTATATTATTATATATATGAATATTATATATATGAATATTATATATATGAATATTATATATATGAATATTATATATATAATTATATCATTAAAAGTACAACAAATATTATTGAAATCTACAATGTTTTTCCACAAAATATTTGCACAGCCATATTTCAAACACTAAAACTAAATTATAAAAGATACCAATTCCACTTTTATACAGATATACTGCAAAAAAATTATCAAATGATATCATTCCAACTGATTATTATCATAATGGCAGACAAGCCTTTCTTGAATATCGCACTATATTGCACAAGACATATATCGCCAGTAATTACATCAAAGTTATTTCAAAAATGCTTCATTACCTCAATAATGAATAGTAAAATATAGTATCGATAATTAATGCGCCATTTGGAAAACACGTGCGAGCGACGTCGTTAAAATATTGCTACGTTGCAAGTGTAATTTAGGATTAACATCGCGAACTGATATTTTTCTGATAGGATTACGATTCCGTCATTGTCATCGCGATACAAACTGCTGATCGGAATGCATCGTGTATATCGACAAAACCGTTTCGTGGAAGGGAAAAAAAGGCCATGATAATAAACAGCCGTGCCCGAAAGTAACACTCGTTCGTTGGTTGCGCCTTTATCAGTCGCTCCAAAACCCAACCTGTACTTGTCAAACTGTCAAAGTGGAGTTACGTACGGAATCGGCATCGACTCCGACCGTCGGATTGTAACCGTAAACATGTTCCTCTGCCATTAACGTTACGTTTGCTCAATTGGTACCTAATCGCCGACCGCTCTCTCTTGCTATTTAACGGGCCTCACAGTTCCTTGTGTGCCATCAAGAAACCTATTTTGTCCTAACCCCCTTCCGCGACTACTGCACGATCGAGACGGATATGACATACTCGCTTCCGGGTTCAAAGATGGCCAGGCCGTCTTTTAAATAATCAAAACACAGACCACACGCGTGTTTTGTTTGCAACATAAATACAACAAATCTGCCAAAAATTTTTCTTAACTTATTTCAAATCTCAACCATACAATCTTTCTTCTACGACAGAAATATTATTTATTGATCAAGAAGCGCGGTGTAAAAAATATAAAGCTTTTATTATAAGAAAATTTATAAACAAGATATGAATGCACAGATGCAAATTTTTTTAAGTAAATGTTACATTATGTAAATATAATACATTTTGTTTATATATTAAATGAACGTCTAACATTAATTTAATAATAATATGCAGCTTATGTGCATAAAGTTTAAATGCAAAAATAATATTGTTGTATATTTACCCTTATTAAACAAAAAATTATTAACACAAAATGTTAAATTATTATGATAATTATCAATCTAGTAGTTTGAAAATTATTGCGTTGAGTAAAAAAATTATTGCAAACATTTATTCTTATCTCTAGTAGATTTGTAGTATGATTCAATCTTAAAGATAATCGTGACCGTCATGACTAAAACAATGAAAATCATAATGAGATAGCTTTACAACTGATTTACATAACATTTTTATGACTTCGTAAATTCGACAACATTTAAATACTCATGAACTTGTTGCAATTCATGTAACTAAGAAAGATTTATTTAAGAAAACCTACTATATGTTTTTATAACAGCAAAGAATTAGAATGCTAAAAACTTTAAGAAAAAATTTTAAGTAAAAAAATATTTTTTAACATATTCTTTCAATGTAAAATCTGTAGTAAATCTTAAAATGAATAATTTATTTTCCATATTAAATACCTAAATTTAAAATAATCTTAAAGGTTGTGATTATTAACAGCGTGAAATTTTAAATATGTCTGCGTTTATTTTGCTTCATGCAAAAACTCTTTCGTGAGAAAAAGACTTTTAAAACTTTTAAAAAAATTCTCATTTTTATTTTCTCACTTTGTTCGCAACGCGGGAAAAAATTCACCGCAGGTGTACCAACGTCGACTACGTTCGCACAGAACAGGGAGTTAACATAACTTTTTCCCTAGAGCAGAAATGTGAAAAGTAAAAATTTTTTGTATTATGTATGCTTATTGTCATATATCACACATACAAATTTTCACTTTTTATGTTTCCGTTCTAAAAAAAAATTACATATACTAACAATTTGATCTTATATAAACATATTCTTAAAAATAGCCATTTCATTGGTTGGAGGTCACTTAAGATCTATAAAGCCAAAATTAAAAAACAAAGAAATAAAATATAAGATAAACTGTAAATATTCTAAATTTGCGCAATTTTAACTTTTAAAATTTTATTCAACTGCAATAAAATAGCTACAGCATCTTGAGATCCTACACTTAAGATGATTTTAAATATTATATAAAAATATATAATTGAATTATGAATATTATTCATAGAAAACGAGAGATTAGAGATAAAAAAACTAAAAACTTTAAATTTAAAAAATAAGTAAATATCAGTATTACCTCCTTGCTGATGACACAGAATATTTATGATAAATATTTATTTTTTTAAATGTTATATACATTTTTTACACATAAAGCTTTATTCAAAATATATTTAAAATATAGACTACTAAATATTTCATATAATATTTATTATAATAAATGTAAATATAAATATTTCTAATAAGTATTTTGTACTTGGATCACTAAATGTCTTACTAAGTATTTTCATAGTATTTATTACAACACATCTACAATAAATATTTCATAATATTCATAATAAATGTTTATGATCTAATGTAAACACTTTGTAAATATTTTATAAATATTGTGTACTGTGTCTAAGTGGAATATCAAATGCCACATTATTGTTTTAAAATTCTGTAGTTTATGCATTTAAATGATCATTCAAATTAAAAAAGTTCTTCATAGAGATAGTGTTATAATAAGTAATTAAAAATATAGAGTGTATTATGACTGTAAGTGACCATGAATATATTTAGATCCGCAGTTTCGGAAATTAAGGCGCCACGTTATTAACTCAATTAGATAATACACAAAGCGACTTCGACTTCAACACATTCAGAAAGCTATATATATAAAGACAAGAGCTTAATTATATATTTCTGAAATAATTTTTGCTTTAACATAATTTAAGCTTTAATGAATGATGAATATCACGAAAAGTGAAATTTTATAATTTTTTCAGAATCTTGATTTAAAAATAAATATAAAGAAATATTTCTGCTATATATTTTATAAATATTTCTTAAATATTTGCTGGAAACATCATGTGTTTCAAAAAATGCAAACTATAATATAATATCTAAATGTATTATTATGATAAAATAAAGCAAATGCTATTTTGCAACTATTACAAGTTTTCGTTACTAAAACAGAACTATTCTAGATTAATTTATAAAAGAAATATATTTTAACAATATATGTCCATCTTTTTGACATCTTTATATTGACCAAATATATCATAACTACATATATATCCATTAACATTCAATATTCGTGATTCATCGAAGCAGCAATTTTCGTTATACGATCGCAGCATTTTGGATGTGATACTTACAATTTAAAATGATAGTGATCAAAGAGCAATTAATGAAATTAATTCCCGAGTTCGGGATGTTTATCATAATTTTGCAGTGTGTATTCCAGAATATGATCCTAATCAATAATACTTATTTTATCAATAAAATTGTAAATAAATTTTGTATATATTCAAATAAATGTTATATTTCATAAATATTTTGTGCTGACTGGGTCTCTCTCTCTCTCTCTTTCTCCAACCTCCATAGTAGTATGTCTCAATATCTCACCACAGACTCTGATAGGGATACTCGAGCAAGTTGCGAATTGACTTCTGCCACACGTGATGCAGAACGATGCTGTGCGGTCCATGTATGGGCGCGTCTTCTGGGTGGGTGTGAATCAACACCAACGTAGATTGGATACGTCAGAGTGCCTGGCATCTTTCGTTTTTTCTTTATGTCTTTCCAGCGTCACTAATCTTGAACTCATCGACTCTGTACATTATAGTTTTTTTATTTACATTTATTACATGTTTTTTATCTTTGATTTCTGATTGAATGAGATAATAGTACTTTCTGGTTAATCAAACTCTGATCGATTCAAGCCCACCACGATTAAAAATGTTAGATTATTTTAAACTTTAAACTTTCATATGTTTTTTGAAGAAGATTTATTATTAATGTATATAGTGTTTGTACGTCGACACTCATTTAAAAAGCGCGCATTTTCATTGTTCAAGTTTTGTAGAAATGTACGTTATAATTGGAGTCTCTTTGACCCATAAAATACGCAAATATTTGTTTTCTATTACATTGATTCACATTATTAAAACTTTAGCTAATAAGTGTCTTTAAGTTTTTCAAGGAAATTACGTTTACATAATCTTACGCCATATAATGCGCGCTGACGCACGTAAAATTTCAGGTGATACAAACATTTTTACGAGAAACTTATAAAATTATAATTTAAATCAACTACTAATTTATTGTTTTTTATGTGTGTGCTCCCGTTATATAATCCAAGCGTATATATATACCTACATAATTATTCAAACAGACACACGAAATACAGTTCTATATAGTTGGAACGATGTCAGTCCTTGTTATTTTATATACAAGTATTATTATATATATACGTTTATTATGAGGAAAATATATTTATATGGAATTATAGAAACGGGAAAATATACAGTATGTATGTTCTTTGACAAAAACAAAATTCCGGACAGAGTTAAAACATCCGACGTTGGATGCAGTTAAATTTCCTAATCGATTTGACAGTCGGTTCATTCGTAAAGTCACATTGCAGCACCGCGATGTGCACTTATTGCCACGATCTTTGCGGAAAGGGAAACGAACGCGACGTGAACATTCGTTCGTATTCAGACACTTGATCACTAACGCGAAGCAAATGCTCAAATTTTAGATAAGGCAGTATTGTTAATCATCGAGATAACGTGCTACGACACATATAGCTGTCATTGTACGAAAATTTCATCATTTCGTATATCTGTCGCGTTTGCGTATGTATGTATATACAGGTGAATATAGGGTATAATCGTTGCTGGTTCTACTTGTCTCGAGTTCCAGCTTAAGCAATAAATTTTTTAAATCTGAAACTATCACATTAAATAATAATGTGCCTTGTAATACGTTCAAATCTTTTATATATGGTATTCATAGTCCGTTCTTATTTGAAGACTCTCTTAATAAATAATATCTTTAGGAGATGCTAATATAATCTTCTGTGATTGACTTCCCGGACAGCAAAAAATCGTAACATAAAACGTCTTATTAAAGATGTCTTTTTTTAGCACCTGAAGACATTACTACTTAAGATGATCTTAAAATAAGAACCGACCTATGCATATAAAAAAACTGACCGTGAAAGAAATATATCTTTAAAACGTCTTCCCAGTGAGAAATGACAACAGAATCGACGTCGAATCGATGTCGATTTCATTATCATTTCTCACTGGGTTATGTCTCGTTTTTGAACATGCATGTTGTCTGAATTATATACTAAAGACAATTTCAAGAAAGAAGAGAAGAATCAACTATATAAATATCAGTTTTAGAAAGCGTACTTTTATATTTTACTTACGTCGTATGAACTCTCGATATATTCATATAGGATGCTTTCCATTTAGTGACGCAGTCAACACAAACTTCATTATATCTTTCTTGACATTCCATGAATAACAAAAATAGAACAATGCTTATGTCGATTTGTGTCACCAAATGGAAAGCACCCATATACTTTCTTCTCCCCCTCTTCCATCATCTCTTATCAACCAGCTTAAGCTGTAATCACACTGCCAGGTTAGTGGTTACACGATTGTTAGTTGACAGTTCTATAATTTTAGCCAATCATTGTTGCAGCTATCCCATACTC